GCACAAGATCAATAATCACCTTAGAGTGTATACAACAAGACCATTCGGACTGATACGCATCCGGAAATTTGGAAATGAGACCATATGAAAATAGGAATATTTGGAGTTCACGAAGTATGGATCAGGAGTCCAAATTTTCTCCATAACGCTCATTTCACGGATCAGAATCGATTTCGTATAGTTGTTCGCCAGTCTCAAATCAAACCAACGCATTTGCATCTCCAAATCTGTTCACACAAAACCAACGTCAGTTAGCAATTTTGATAACACCTAGCAGTTTGACAAGACTCATCGCACGGTTACATTCAATATTAACCAGTAAAGTTCTCCGATTCGAAACTGAAACTTTTCATGGATTGCTTCATCGAAAAGTCATCGATTACTGCAACCACCATATTCAATGGTTCAATAACTGGGTAATAATGAAATTCTGGATATGATATTTACCGCTATCACCTACCAATTGTGTAGTCCATTTGAAGAGAGTCAAAATTTGCCAAATGGATAATATTCAACAAAACACGCACGTTCACTGGCACGTCTGTAATTTTGAAGTATAGAACACTGCAAAAATGCGACACATGCCTGATCTAANCATATACCTAAGCGCTTTTCTCGGATACTCTCGAGATTGCTCCGTATTTCAACTTATTTCGCTAATGCAAACTGAGAAGACAAAAAGTATGAATTGAAAAGGAACTGCTGCTTGTAAATGCAAATGTTTCATGACTGGATTATACATGAATCTTGCCAACATATACGCATTTATCGGATTATTAGCCGTCCACCGTAATTTTTATGAAAAATTCATAAACCTGCAAAAACAGTTGGCACTGTATTGTTATCATATTTGACCGCCTTCAGCACCGGTAAGATGTAACTGCTGCCGTAATCACTGAAACATACCACTGAATCTTATAATTCATTTTGAATGTCATGAAATTATGCTAGGGATTCTACATCAGTGACATTACAATGGTGGAACTAACGATTCGCATCAATCAGTTTTTAGGAAAGTAAAAAAATATTATATCATAAAAGATTTAGAATCGTTGAACTGTCTAACGCTAAACCAGAATGCTCTATTTGGAATCACGTTTACAGATTTTTTATTGAGAATATCAACCATGAGACCGGACATTTAAAACCAACCGATTACTTATGGCGAAATCGTGATCCAAATTTGTTAAATTTGTCAGCAGGTTTCGAACATCGCTCAGATTCCGTCCGTACAAATGAACATTTCCCAACGGTTCATTTGAATTCACTCTTGGCGAATGAATCGAAGAATATGATGAGTCCGGAGGGAACCATTTTTCGCGATCCGGATGTGTTATTGTCAGGCCATTGCTACCTTCAAAAGGCACTCTGAACATCTTTGCTTGTTCATCAATGTAAAATTGAAGCATCTTTGCATCGTTCGAGGAAGAAAATAATCAACGACTTCGTTCATTCCACGAATTGAATGCAGTCAATGCCTTTGATTCAAATCAATTAACAGTGTTTTGCAATGAAAGGTATAGTGGAATAGTCTCAAATCGCAAACATCGATAAGTTCTAATTGGGTTTTGGCAACCACCTTATATTACACCGGGAAAGAAGATTCAGGAAGCATTAAAAAATGCTCTGAAAAGTACATTTTGATCATTTGTTCGAAAATGCAGACATTTGATGATCATATAGAACAGTGGTTCTCACGCTCGGGTGCTCCGTTACCCTTTTTGATGATTTGACAGGCCGCTGTATCCCCCTCCATCTGATACAAGAACTTACTATTACGACGTATAATGTCAGCAACAAACGCAAAACCGGTCCGA